TTGAGTTTGGCTGGGTACTTCAGGGCCTGGATTTCTAATTTCTCCCTCCTCGCCATGCTGCTATATAATCTGGCCAAGGGCCCCCAAGATGAACCCCTAACCTCAGTGGTAAGGAAGCCCTTTCTGGGCACCCACCATGCATCTCCCCGACTTCTCCAGACCCTTCACTCTCTATGTACATGAAAAGCAGGGACAAAGTCTGGGCATTCTGGGTCAGGAAAAATTTGCACCAGTGGCCTACCTATCCAAACAACTTTACCTCACCGTCAGGAGCTGACCCCCATGCCTCAGAGCCCTAGCAGCAGCCCATGACTTCAAGAAAGAAGCACACAAGCTTACCTTTGGCTCCCCGATAACCATCTCATCTCCTCACCATCTGAAGGATTTCCTCACTTACAAGGGGCTACAGTCACTTCCTCCTTCTAGGGTTCTATCCCTCCTTGTCTCATTCCTTGAAAATCCCTCCATATTTTTTCAGTCCTGCTCCCATCTTCTCCCTCACAAGATCCCATCCACAAATGCCTGGAAGTATTAGAGACAATTTTACCCTGCCCTACCACCATTTCTGAGGGACCCCTGCCCTCTTCGGACCTCATCTGGTTCTCAGATGGTAGCTCCTTTATATACGACGGGGTTAAAGTGGCAGGGTATGCTATCATTTCCCTCTCATTCATCATAGAGGCAAAACCTCTCCCACCCAATACCACCAACCAACAAGCTGAACTCATAGCTGTCACAAGGGCATGCGAGATAGCGGAGGGAAAAACCCTCTCCCTATATACAGATTCCAAATATGTCTTCCATATCCTGATCTCCCACACAGCCATTTGGAAAGAAAGGGGGCTATTGACCACCAGAGGGATGGCAGTCATTATGTGCACTCCCTTGGTGGCCAAACTATTCACATTTCCAGGCTTAAGCCCGGTGCTCCTACTCTTGTCATCCCTCCCCACAAGATCCCCTCAAGCTCCTGTGTCTCTGTTCTTAGCCCAATACCTAATGCTCCCCCTCATTTCTGGCCCCTTTTGGGTCCTCTCTTCGCCCTATGTCTGGAGATTCATAGCAAGTGACCCTAAGGGCCCCTCCAGCAAGACCCCCTTCTCCTCCTTTCAGACCCCCTACTTGCTTAGATCTGGCCAGTAGTGGGACCATTGTGTGTTGTCCTTCTGACAAACCACTTAGGTGTCCGGAGCATGGTGACCCCTGAATAAGAGTGAACTACCTTTATAATAAGAGAGCACTTTACCAGTTGCCTTCTGGGCCTAAGGAGGAACATGTGTGTTTTGTTTACCCTCCCAGTTTCATAAGAATTTCAAGTATCAGTATTTAAAGTTGAGGTGTTTAAACCTGGAGAGATCTGACTGCTCTCAAAGGGAAATCTGGTAACAATGGGCCACCGTCCTCCCTTGGCCGCCTTCGTTCAGAGCATGGGAGAAGTGAGAGAAGTAAGCTGGTTTGGAAAGCTGGGATATTTTGAGAAGGGTAAAGAGAGAAGCCAGCTGGTTTCAGATAGGAGAGAGTTTGAATGAAGAGTGGAATTGAGGGTTAGGTGCAGGACAGATTGAATAAGTTGTCTGCAGGGCATGCCAAGCAAAGTTAGCTGCAGGATGACCTGGCTTCTCAAACCCTCTGTCTGGTTCTTTACCACCTGTTTGCTTCAAGCCCAAATGCCCAAGCCCCCATTCAAGGCTGAATACTCAAGCCCCCACTCAAGGCTGAACACTTAACCCCCATTGTGCCAACAAGGCAGCTTGCAGACCCAGAGACCCTATGTGCCAGGGTCCTGCCCTAGTGAGGTCCAGGGAGTCCTGAAGGATGAGTGGTGTCTGCGAAAAGATGAGACAGGAGTCGTTCTGTTGGAGCAATCTCCAGAGAGAGAGCTCTAATGCAGCTTTCTCTGGATCATCTTTTATTACAATTTTTCTCATCATTAGAAATTCAGAATACGTCATTGATTATACAATTTAAAACTTTGCCAAGACATGACATTTCCTTAACCATAATTAGGGGTACAAAAAAATGTAACATTAATTTACATTTTTCCAGGATATGACCTTTAGTTATTTAATTATTAAGAGTACAAAATCATTAATAAAATGCATCACTAATTTACATTTTTCAGATTTTCCCAAGATTTACTATTTTCCCCAAGATATGCTATTTTCTTATTAACTAATGCCAAACTACATAACCAGACTCTAAATCTCCTAACCTATCATTAACCTTTAAGTTTAAAGTACACCTTTACTTTATTTCTAATCTAAAATTCCCATCTAAAAAAGTCCCCTTAAATCTCATACTTAAAATATCCTAAAGTTTATAAATCATTCTTAAAACATATCAGAAACCCATACAACTAAAAACTTAAGAATTTCTAAACCAAAAATCTAAATAGGATAATATTTCTAACATCATTCTAAAAATACATCTTATAAAGCTACTTTAATTAATTCCTAAATATATTCCCATAAAACTGGTTGAGCTGCTTTCTCAAAGAGTTTCTTTGTTTCTCAGTCAAGGTACACTAGTTCTCCTATCTTTATAATCTTTCTCAATAGAAAGTAAGTTCTAAACATTAGTTCACTTTCTGCCAATATTAACTATGCTCATCATAAATCCCTATATAAAGTAAAAAGGGGTTTATAAAAAGAGAAGAATATATCTTTATATGTTTTAACTTTCCTAAGTGTATAATATAACGTTCCTCCATCAAGAATGAGGCTACATATGGTGGGGTTTATAAAATAAGCATAATAATTAGGTTTTCTAAGAGGCCAGAAATATGAACTTGGGCTCTAGTTGATATAATCAATGTGGTGCCTAAAATTCTCATGACCTTTCAGAAAATGATTGTTGTCCATCATCAGATTTGTCCTCAATGTACTGAGATAGAAGAACAGCCTTCTACTTTGTCCTTGATATGCTGAGGGGTAGTAGAACAGCCTTCAAGGCATGAACTACCTGTTATGTTCTAGCCATCTGAAATTAATTTGTTTGGCATTTAACATACTCATGCCTCCTGACAGGAACATAGGCATGAAAATGAAAAGTCCCAATTACATAAAAAAGGGTCTCATGGTTTCAGTTTCCCACCAACCAGCATGGCTTTGCCAGCATTCATCCTCACTGTGACCCTGTCAAGACAGTGGGAGAGCGGCTTTGCCAGCACTTATTCTCACTGTGACCCTGTCAAGACAGTGAGTGGGGGATCACCTTCACCAATTCCCCCTTTTTATTTTTTAAATGAAGTAACTGTAGTTCCAGATGGGCTGAACGAATTCCACAACTCAGCAATTTGAAGAGGACGGGAAGGACAAGAATAAGAACAAGAATAATTAAAATACTTATACCACTATTAATTAAAATAGAAAGTAAGGTTTTGTTAAAAAATAAGAATTCAATTTAGAAACAAAAATATCAACTAATCCTGGTACGGATATTTCTGAAATATGTGCCTGACTAATGTCTTTAATCTTTTCCTGTAATTTCTCTATATCTAGGGTTAAATTAGTGTTTTTCCATAATCCTCATAAATGACATTGTATCTGAGACCATGTTTCTTCAGAATAGTTGTATGTGTGAAGAGTAACACAAATCCATTTAAATTGAGAATGACATTTAGTTGTCATTCAAGTTTTTATGTTTTGAATTTGATTACCAATGTAAAGGACAGCCTCTTCTAAAGCATTAACTCTAGCTTCTAACTTCCTCTCTATACATTCTTGAATCATAAGTGCAGTAGAAATATTTTTTGACAACTGATTTACATGATGAGCAGTATGAACTTCTTTAACTAATGTAGTAGTGGAAGCAACTATGGACCCTAGTGCTGCAATTCCTAAAATTAAAGCAGCTACAAAACATTTAGGTCTAATTAGGGCTTGATTAACTAAATCTAATACTTGTAACCCAGGATCATCATACCAAATAGAATCTAATTTAACAGGCAACATAATATAAGAAGGTTGATGTACAATTAAAATGACATTAGAATATGAAATACTAGGATCAATACAATTTGTTAATGTACAACCTTCACAAACAACATCATAAGTTTCATCCTCTAATTTTGAAATCTTTAGTGTTCCTTGATTTCTAAGTAATATTGCATAAGGGGATCCTACACAAGCCATAACAAAATAACTCTCACATGCTGAAAAAGGCCTGTTCATATGCATTATTTCTAAGGAAGCCAATAACCTATAAAGTTCTGTATACACCTGATAATGTTGTTTAATTTTAGTAAAATATAAAGGGGTGACCCATCCAGCCGAGAACCATGTATTCATGGGCTTAAGTGGAACACTCCTAATAGTTCGTACTCGAGGAGTATACTACCATGGTGATGATAAAAGTTTATGAGCATCATAATCACGTTCAGAAATAGAAAAATCATATATTGGAAAAGAAGAATTTTTTGGAAAGAGTTTAAATCCTCTTTCAATAAACATACATTTATGCCAGATTGGAAATCCAAATTGTCTATCTATCCTTACCCATGAATGATCAAGATGGGACTCAGCTTTTTCAAAAATTTGAAACATAGGAGGGGGCTTTTCTGAAGGCAAATTTTCTTTAAAATCAGGAAAATTTAAAGTTAAAATAGAAAGTTTTCAAATATCCCTTATATCTCTTTCCTCATTTGGAGAATTTGTTGTAAAAGTTCTATAATTAAGTGGTATACAACCCACAGTTTGAATAACATTATAGCTAAAACAAAGAGGAGGTAAATGACTGTGACCCTTAAAACTAAAATTATGAGTTGATATAGGAGTAATAAAAGAATTAGATTCACCCCCCAGAAGATTAGTATTATTGGTAAATACCTTAATATCTCCTTTTCCCCAAGTAGTTAGATGAAATAAAGGTGGATCAGGATAATATGCCCAATAATATTCAGAAGACACATTGGTTACCTGACAAGCAAGAATAGCTAGCATAGCAACAAACATAGTCTCAGGAGTGCAGGGGTTTGACTGAGTAGAAATAAGTTCTCGAGCTTGATGAGTCAATCATTTTAATTGTCCCCAAGTTGGCAGTTCTGTAGATCTTGTAGAAGATACTCATCTGAATAAGGATTGAGGATCATCAAAGTTCATTCGGGAGAGAGATGGAATCAAGGTAGTCATCAAATCTTCCTCAGGCACCGTGATCAATGGTGAGGAGTATCGGAGACTCGGAGGGCACGATCTGTTCTGCTTTCTGGTCCGGAAGCTGGACATAGGGTCGAATCATTCTGTCAGGAATCCAAATGGGGGAATCTGCATCCTGTGGGAAGACACAAGCATATCCTCGCCCACAAGTTAGTAACTTTCCATTTACCTGTCAAAAGATCTTTCCATTTTACCAAGGGTTTTGCTGATATTTTTTCATTTTCCCAATGTCTTAACATAGGAGTTACTCCTTTATAATCACAATTAAGATGATTAATCACAAACAAAGCATGTTGTAAGACATGATGAGGAGAACTATATTTATATTCTACTTATATTAGTAATTTGAGCTTTCAATGTTTGATGAGTTCTCTCAACTATAGCTTGTCCTTGAGGATTATAAGGGATTCCCATAGAATGAGAAAGTTTAAACATATCACAAAAATTTTTAAAAGCATTTGAAGTATAAGCTGGTGCATTATCTGTTTTTAATGCTTTAGGCATTCCAAAATATGAGAAACAAATAAACAAGTGTTGCTCTCCATCTTTATATGCTTCCCCAGTTCTTCCTGACGCAATAATCACATGAGAGAAACTATCAACAACAACATGAACATAACTTAGTTTTCCAAATGAAGGAATATGAGTAACATCCATTTGCCATAGATTATTAGGTCTTAAACCATGAGGATTAACCCTTATGGGTAAAGTTGGCAGTAATGATGGACAGGTTTGACAGTTTCTGACAATAGTTCTAGCTGATTCCCTAGGGATATGAAATTGCTGTCAAAGGGCAGAAGCATTTTGATAATGTAAAGCACGACTAACTGTAGCTTCCTGAACAGTAAGAATTTGGGGTCTGGTTAATGAATCTGCCAATGCATTGCCTTGTGGCAATTCTCCTGGTAAGTTAGAATGTCCTCGAATATGCCCTATAAAATAAGGATGTTGTCTATCTAAAATCAACTTCTGTAAAAAATTTAAATAATGAAAAATTGTAGTCTTATGCTGAGGGAGAGAAGCTGTCTCTATATGAGGAAAAAATTTCACAATATATTGAGAATCAGTGTATAAGTTAAACATTTGATCTTAAAATTGAGTAATTAGAGCTATTATTTCTGCCCTTTGAGCAGAGATTTCCTCTGTCTGTCGGACATAAGTTTTATCATTAATAACTAAAGATGCTCGTCCATTTGAGGAGCCAGCAGTGAAAACTAAAGCTGCTGGTTGAGATAAAGGTTCATAAGAAAACAATTTTGGAAAAATAACAGGGTGATTCTTAACTAAATATAACAAAGGGTGAGATGGCAAATGAAACTTAATATGACCACAATATCCCTGTAAAGCTATTTGCCAATCTTCAGAATGTTCCATAAGTATATTTAATTGATCTCTAGAATAAGGAATCACCAAATTATGCATTTCTTTCTCAAATAACTCTCTACTTCTATATCTTCCTTTTATTATTAATAAAGCAATCACAGTAGGGTACGAGCAAATAACCTTTTTAGAAGTAACTGGCATATGTGTCCACTCTAAAGGACCTGACTGCCATAATACTCCTGTGGGTGTATGAGGAGTAGGTAAAACAAGAAAATCCCAAGTTTGAGTATAATCAACTCTTTGCAATTGTTGTTTATTAATAGCTTCTCCTACCTTATTTAAAGCCAATTTAGCTTCTTCTGTCAAAATACAAGAAGAGTGTGGGTTAGAGTCTTTTTTCAAAATATCAAATAAGGGTTGAAGTTCTGCAGTAGTAAGTTTCAAAAAAGGACAAATCCATTAATATCTTCTAAAAGTTTTTGAAAATCATTTAAAGTTTGTAAATGATCAATACGTAATTTTAAATTTTGATGGGAAACAGTTTGAGTATTTATAATTCTACCCAAATAATTGTAAGGAGGTGATTGCTGAATTTTATCTGGGGCAATGATTAAACCAAAATTTTGTAAGGACTGTGTCAATATTAATAATATATGATGAAGCAACTGAACATCTTTATGAGCAATTAATGTGTCATCCATATAATGAATAATATAGGCATCTTTATATTTATCTCTTATTGGTTATATTGCTGATGCAACATATTTTTGACAGAGAGTAGGACTATTTTTCATACCTTGAGGCAACACCTTCCATTGAAAACGTTGATATGGCCGTTTTAAATTGACAGAGGGAAGGCTAAAAGTAAACCTTTTATGATCATCAGGATGTAATGGAATAGTAAAAAAGCAGTCTTGTAAGTCTATTACCATAACATGAGATCCTTTAGGGACAGCTACTGGAGAGGGGAGTCCTGGTTGTAAGGAACCCATATCCTCCATAGTAGCATTTATAGCTCTTAAATCTTGTAATAATCTCCATGTACCTGATTTCTTTTTAATAAGAAGTATAGGAGTATTCCATGGACTATTAGAAGGTTCTATGTGTTTTAAATTAAGTTGTTCCTTAACCAACAAGTCTGCAGCCTGTAATTTTTCTGTTGTTAGGGGCCATTGTTCTACCCATACAGGCTCATCATTTTTCCAAGTCATTTTATCTGCTGTTTCGACAATGGCCCCAATTAAAAATCCTGTTGAGCCTCTTCTACAAAAGCAGTACAGAGAGAAACTCCCATTTTAAACATTATATCTCAGCCCCATAAAGTAAAAGGAAGAGAAGGAATAACATATGGCTGAAAAGTTCCTGAATTTTTGTCATCAGCCCATTGAAGTATTTGAGTGCTTTTTGCTACATTAGTAGCAGTTCCAAGTCCCATAAGTGTTGAGGGAGTTACTGTTGTAGGCCAGGTTGAAGGCCAATCTTTACAAGCTATACAAGTAACATCTGCTCCTGTATCTAATAATCCATCAATTTTTTTCCCTGAATCTCTAGTTTTTTCATAGGACGAGAATTTTGAATTTTTTTGAACCCAGAATGCCATATCACTAGAACCAAATCCTCTTGTTTGTCTTTGTTCATTTGAAATAGCTTGGTTTCTGATAGATAAATAGGGGAGTAGCAAGATTTGAGCAATTCTTTGTCCTTTATGAATAATCAAAGTCTTTTGAGATTAAAGTTCTATTAAAATCTTAATTTCTCCAGTATAATCAGAATCAACAATTCCAGGAATAACTTTGATTCCCTGTAGGGAAGCAGAGCTTCTTCCTAGAATAAGACCAAAAGTTCCTTTAGGTAAAGGTCCATAAATTTTAGTAGGTATAGCTAGAACAGAAGAGTCTGAGGGAATAACTACTGATTCTGAAGATGCCAAATCTAATCCTGCTGAATCTGGGGTGGCTCTTAATAAAGCCCTTATAGTATATCCTGTTGAAAAAGACTGTTGATGGCCTCCATTATTTAAGGGGCCCGAGGCTGGCCCCATTACCAGTTTCCCGGTAATAGATTGGCAGTCATTTGTGGAAATTTTTGAGACATTGGTCCACCTTCTAAAAGTCTCCCATCTTTATGAAATTTAGAGCGACACTGCTTTGCCCAGTGAAATCCCTTATTACAATGTGGGCATAAACTTTTGGGTCTAGATATCTGATTAGGAACTCTGTTTCCTTTATTTTGAAAGTTTTTATTAGGACAAATTTTACTAAAATGATCTGTCTGTCTGCAAGAAAAACAGCTTTGATTTCCTTTATTTTGTTCTCTATTTTGAAGCCTTTTAAGAAACTGAGCATTTGTTTGTCCCTGTAATGCTGCAGCTATGGCTACACCTTGCAAATATGAGGGTGATACATCAGCACAAACCTTAACAAAATAAGATAAATTTCCTTTCTTTCTAATAGGTTTTAGGAGTGTCTGACATACAGTATTTGCATTTTCAAAAGCTAATTGTTTGATTACAATTTGTGAAGCTTCATTATTAGTTATAATTTTTTCCACTGATTCTTTTAATCGAGACAAAAATTCCTCAAAAGGTTCTTCAGGCTTTTGTTTTATACTACTTAAGCCAGAAGTTTTAACTCCTTTATTTTCCAATTGTCTCCAAGCATTAACTGCTAAATCTGAGCACTGGATTAAGGCAGGCTGACGCAGATGTAATTGATCACTTGGCTGAGCCCTATCATTTTCTCCCATTAACATATCAAAAGTAACTTCACTATTAATAGATCTATTATATCGAGAGCATTCTTTAGCTCTATCTTCATAATCTGTTTTCCATAATAAGAATGTCCCTCCGGGGAGACAAGATTTTGCAGTAGCAAACCAATCATATGGAGTCATCCATCTAGTGGCAATAACCTCTACTATCTGTAAAGTATAAGGAGAAGTGGGTCCATAATCATGAACAGATTGTTTTAATTCTTTTAAAATTTTTAAAGGGGCTCCCATTGAGGCATATAGTGTTCATCATTTGAATCAATAGTGATAGGGAGAGTAAAACTTAGATCTCCAGATTGTAGAGCTTCTCTCATAGCTCCTTTAAATCCTACATTTCGTGAAGGAGGAGGTAGGGTATTTTTTTATTTTGGAACCTAATTTGTTTTTTGTAGAAGGTTTTGTAAGAGGTCTATAAGGACATGTATTTATAGGGGCAAAGAATTCTTCATTATGATATTCAATAGGTGCTTCTTCTAAATTATCTTCACTTTTTAAACAAGACTGATCCTCCTCCTCATCTTTTTTTAGGACATAAATTTCGCTTCTAGAGTCCTTCCTTAGGGGAGTTTCTTCAGTATGGGCAGTTGAATTAATTCTATTTAAGGTTTCAGCTTCATGAGCTGGATCTAACATATCTTTTAAAAGATTCCATAATGCTATAACATCTACAGGCATATTTTCTGATCCATAATTAAAGTAATATGCTTTTAAAGCTTCTCCTATTTTTACCCATGTTTTTAAATCTAAGGTTCCCTCTTCTGGGAACCAAGGGCAACATTCCTGAATAAAATAAAAAAACCTCTGTAATTGTGAAGTGAAAACCTGAATTCCTTTTTTTCTAAGCATATGTTTAACAATATCAATGAATAATCCTCGTTCCTTAGATTCTGTATTTCCCATTTTTCTTTTACCTAATTACCCACTCTTACCTGTTCTACCAACAGGGGGCTCATGAAACCCACGGGTAATGGCCTATCCACTCTGAAAAACAAGGGGGCAAATGCCAAGGGAGATTACCTTCAGTTACCTGGTTCGGGTGCCAATTGTTGGGGTCCTGCCCTAGTGAGGTCCAGGGAGTCCTGAAGGATGAGTGGTGTCTACGAAAAGATGAGACAGGAGTCGTTCTGTTGGAGCAATCTGCAGAGAGAGAGCTCTAATGCAGCTTTCTCTGGGTCATCTTTTATTGCAATTTTTCTCATCATTAGAAATTCAGAATACGTCATTGATTATACAAT